TTTATTTATTTATTTATTTATTTATTTATTTATTTATTTATTTATTATGTAGCCTAGGCTGGCTTCCAGCTCACCATCATCTCCAGCCTCCTGAGTGTTGGATTACTGTCATGTGTTACCATGCCTTGTTGTCTTTTTTACTTTTTTTGTCGTTTTTTTTTTTTTTTTTGAGACAGGGTCTCCCTGAAGCCCCAGCTGGCCTGGAACTCGCTATGTTGACCAGGCTGGCCTCGAACTCACAAAGATTCGCCTGCCTCTGCCTCTTGAATGCTGAGATTAACCATGTCCAGCTTGACTTTTTTACTTTTTAAAGCTGACAATCATTTTTTAAAGCAGATTTTAATATAGAATATAGTAATGTAGTTAAATTTTATGTAAAAAATTTAGTTATATAAAGTTATACAGCTTAAATTAAAGGTCAAATGTAATTTCATCACTACTGGGAATGTTACCTTTAGTAAGTAAGTATTTGTTGAACACTTACTATGTATATGTGGTATTGGCACTCTAAATATATTTTACATATGTATTTTTTTTTCTTTCCTTTTTATGGTCTTTTTGAGACAGGGTCTCCCTGTAGCCCCAGCTGTCCTGGAACTCACTATGTAGGCCAGGCTGGCCTTGAACTCACAGAGATCCACCTGCCTCTGCCTCCCAAGTGCTGGGTTTAAAGGTGTGCACCACCATGCCCGGCTACATATGAATTTCTTAAGAGATTTATAAACACAATTTTTCTTTTTATTTCCTCTTTTTCTAGTTTTCTAGCTCCCACATCTATTCTTGAATAGGTTTTAATGCATGTATAGAATTTGGAATGTTGTCACTGCTTAGTATTTAAATTCTGACTATGAATAGCGCAGTACTAGACACTTATATGTACCATGTCATTTAGTTCTCATAAAGCAACATTAGATTGTTGTGTGCTTAACAGCACTCAGTGTAAGAGGTGGAAGGAGGGACTAAAGGACTTAGGTAATTTGATGAGGTGAATAAAGTTGTAGGTAGGCATAAATAATCAATAACTGATTAAGAAGACCGAGTAAATGAGTTACATAATGGTTGTCATCATTAGCAGGTATGATACATGGTAGGAAGGGGATGGTTAATGAAAAATGAAAAGCATCCATTTATTTCTTCTAACAAGACTAAGAAGTTGTTACATACAAACCTACTAAGTACCATAGATTTCATCATACTAAGAAATGTGTCTGTTACTTTAAGCAGTTATGTGTTAAAGGAGCTCTTGCTATCTATTTTTTTTTGAAGTTTTATCTAGAACTTCTGACAGTAATTATTAACTTTTAATCTTATTTTGCCCATGTGCTCCCATCTATTTCTAGGCAACAAACCCCAAGGTCTAGGTCAAGTGCTGTATCCTGAACTTCATCTCTAGACTTTCCATCACAACTTACCAATTACTTGAGATACTGTTAATTTTAGGATGTGATAGAGAAATTTTCTTTTTGCTTAAAGTAATTAAGTTGAACCTATATGGTTCAACGTGTCTGTTTAGTTGTATATTTAATTTTAAAACTTCAACCACATTTTAAATTTTAAAACTTCAACCACATTTTCTTTTTCTGTGTTTCTAAGCATAAAAGTTCTCATTTAAAGGCATTTGGCAAGAGTCTTCCTGATCTTTGCTCAAGTGCATTTAAAAATTACTGTATTAAGTATTATTTAAAATGATAATATTTTATTTTCTGTGCATATTGAAAGATCTGTGAACTGTTTATATTTAAGTGTTTTGATGTGAAATATATTAATAGTGGCATGAAAATTACTTTTGTTTTTTTCCCTAGGAGGATAGCAAGCAAGCTCAATTCTTAGCTTTGGCTGTTGTGTACTTTATCTCTGTTCTTATGGTCTCAAAGTATAGAGACATTTTGGAACCCCCAAATGAAAGGCATAGTCAGTCACTTAAGGAAACTGGTAGTGAAAATGGGAATACATCACTTCCTGGTAAGTTTCCATATTTTACTCCTCGATATCCAAAGTTCAAATGAAACCTTACCTGTTAAAGTACTGATTCTGATACTTAAAGCCATCTATGTGTAAAGTGAGATCTTAACTTTGTATGAAAACATTTATTATTATAGAATATGTTATTAATTTATGTTTACCTACAACTAAATAATTTATTTTAAATTTATATAATTATTTATAATTGGAAGATGATTTTGTACTGAAATTGAGCCATCTAATTAAAGGGTGAGAAAATGTTATCCTTTATAAATAAAAAGTCAAAAGTTTTTAATGCAGCATTTACTGTGAAGGGGAACTTGGATTCTCTTACAGTAGAAGAATTGCAGGTCATTTAAAAATTAGTGGTGGTGGGGAGAGATGGCTCAGCGGTTAAAAACACTGGTTGTTCTCGCAGAAGACCTGGGTTCAAATTCCAGCACCCACATGGCAGCTAACAACTGTCCGTAACTCCAGTCCCAGGGGATCTGACAGCCTACAGCCTCTTCTGACCTCTGCGGGCATTGCATGACACGGGTGCACTTACCTACATGCAGGCAATACATGCACGCACATAAAATTAAAAAAAAAGTTAAAAAAATGAGTGGTAATAAATGCAGTTTTAAAAGTAGCTTCCAGTTTTTTTTTTTTTTTTTTAAAAAAAAACATATTAGCTGGGCATGGTGGCGCATGCTGTAGTCCCAGCACTTGGGAGGTAGAGGCAGGCAGACCTGTGTGAGTTCAAGGCCAGCATGGTCTACATAGTGAGTTCCAGGACAGCTGGGGCTACAGGGAGACCCTGCTTCAAAAAGACAAAAAACAAAAGCATTTTAAAGGACTGGGCACATTGCAGTGCACACCTTCACTCTCAGCACTTAGGAGACAGAGCACCAGGCATATCTTTATGAGTTCAAGACTAGCCTGGTCTACCTAGCAAATTCCAAGCCAACTAGGGCCTCATAGTGAGACTCTGCCTTAAAAAACAAGGCAAAACAAAAAAAACTAGCTTCCAGCTATAGAATTATAGTTAGATTAGACAGCTGTTATAACTGTAGAAGTAGTTGCTCTCAGAGGAGGCATTTCAGTTTTTCAGTAGATATTCTTTGAATACCTATTAGGTACTTGAGTATATCCATACAGATTCAAATATACAGGAAGAGACTGTGCCCTCATGGAGCTTATGTTCTAGCAGGGTTTCCCTTTAACCCCCCAGATGGCCTGGAGCTCACTATGTAGACCAGGCTGGCCTTGTCTAACAGAGATCCGCCTACCTCTACTTCCTCAGTGCTGGGATTAAAGGCATGTGCTACCACACCCAGAAAAAATAAGTATTTTTAACAAATGAATTTTATAATATTTTAAAAGGTTGTAAGAATGATAATAAAAGAATTGAATAAAATAAAAATGTCAGGCATGACTATGAGAGGTAGTTTATGGATTTTTCTGTAAGAGAAATGAGCAGTCATTGGAATATTTTGAGTACAGGAATTACAACTGACGTGGATTTTTAAGGTAACATTCTGAGATAGTTCAGTTGGTAAAAGCATATTTGACATGCAAACCTCATGACCTGAGTTCAGTCCCTTGTAGTCCATGGTGGAAGGAGAAAACTGACTCTCAAAAGTTGTCCACTGACATCCATATGTATATTATGGTATGTATGCACCAGAACTCTCATACACATATACATGATACATACATATTAAACACACACATAATAATAATCAGTAAAATTTAATACTCTGGATTCACCTCTGAGAAGAAAAACTAGTGTTTGGACACAGGACCTTGAAACTCAGTGATTTCAAAAAAGGCCAGCATGGCCTTTAGTCCCAGCACTTGAGAAGTAGAAGCAGGTAGATCTCTTTGAGTTCAAGGCCAGCTTGGTCTACATAGTGAGTTCCGGGCCAGCTGGTATTACAGGGAGACTCTGTCTCAAAAAGCCCCCCCGCCCACCAAAAAGCTTGGCCTTGTAATTATTTGTTACTTCTGATTCTGTTGTATTGGTTAACCATTCTGTTGGTGAATTTGGTCTCAGCCCAGATTGATGGATTTCTCAAATACCAGGTGGTATGAATCAGTAGGATCATTAGAGTAACTGCCTTTCACTACAAGTTAGGAGGACAGTACAGTTTACTTGACTGGAAGAACTAGGGTGGTAACCACACAGATAATGTGATTCTGGTTATATTTGGGTAACAGAAAAATGGTATTTCTGAAGTATAATGTAGGCATCTTTAAAATAAAAGTGTATTCAGTAATGACTACAAGATATAATAGGATATATTAAGGGTGGGACATTTCAGTTTTCTGCATGCTGACTTTAGATGTACAAGGTGTAGGGCAGGCAGTGATAAAACAGTACATATGAGTTCTTCATGTGTGCGGGGCAATTGTAGAGGTACTTGAAATTTTGAGAGTGAGTGGGACCACTAAGAGAATACATGTAGATAGGTGATGAGAAGATGAGGACTGAAAGGACGGAGGACTGACCCAATCCAAATGTACTAACTCAGGGTAAAAAGTGAGGGACATTAATGAGGAATGACCAGTGATGTGGTGGATAGAAGGAAAAGCAAAAGGGCATGGTATCCATGGGCTAAGGGAAGAAAGAATTATCAAGTTCCAGAAAACATTGGGTAGCTGCTTTTGTGTTGAGTGTTGTTAGTGAGGAAAACTTTAAATTTAGAAAGGTTTACACCTTTTTTGATTAACTTGAAAAGAGCATCTTTGTTGGAATGATTGGAAGCTTGATTGAAGTGAGTAAAATTAGACAAAAAAAAGGGGGTTATAGCTCAGTTGGTAGTGTGCTTGCCTAGCATGCATCTAGCCCTGGGTTTGATCCCCAGCACCTCATTAACTGGTTGTGGTGGTTCATGCCTATAGTCCTAGTACTCAGGCGGTGGAGGCAGGAGGATCAGAAGTTCAAGGTCTTCCTTGGATACATAGTAAGTCTAGGATGGATGAGACCCTATCTCAACAGAGATAGAGTGTTCCCTCTTGATTGTTATTTTAAGCAGCATTGATTTATTCTGTATATGGGAGGGGCTGGCCATTTTTCCAGCAGTAGAAACCATGTGTGAGGTAGAAGTTTTACTTTTATGTACTGTTGGCTTTCAGCTTTGTGTTACTATCCATTGGTATGCCACAATCACTTCTGAAGGCTGTTGCAGGCCTTTATTATTTACTTATCTGATTTGATTATAGGTACATTCCCTTACTATGTTTTATAGTCTGTGTTATTAGTTTTCCTTTTGAGAAGATGACATTTATTTATAGAATCCTGGATGACATCTTGTACTTGAATATACCATTTAAAAATCAGTTCCTAATTTTTTAATTCACTCTGCTCTGTTTTGGGGTAAGATGCAGAAAACACACCGGCAGAATTTAGCTCTTTAACTCTATCGTCAGCAGAAGAATCAATGGAAGGCACCTCATCTTCTCGAAGGAGGGACTCTGGCCTTGGTGAGGAAGCGGCTTCTGGCTTAGGAAGCAGCGCATCTGTAGCTTCTCCAGCAGCGCCTCTGGGTGTCAGCGCTGGTCCAGACGCCATCAGTGAGGTGCTGTGCACTCTTTCTGTAGAAGTCAATAAATCTCAGGAAACCAAAATTGATGGAGGAAATGAGTTGGAAAACAAGGTGACACCATCAGTTCCAGTTTCAAAAAATGTCAATGTGAAGGACATTCTCCGAAGCTTGGTTAACATACCAGCAGATGGAGTCACAGTGGATCCTGCCCTCTTGCCACCAGCCTGCCTTGGTGCCCTGGGAGATCTGCCTGTTGACCAGTCTGTGCAGTTCAGATCGTTTGACAGGTATGAAAATAGTCCTTTGCTTTACATTGCTCAGGTTTGCAATGTAAAGGTAAACAGGAATTCATTTTGAATCTGCTAAATTTTGTAGTTACAATATTTTAGTGAAATATTTTCCTCTAATTTATAAAAAATGCAAGGATAGTTTTGTTGTATGAGTTGTACAGAATTTCAAATATTCAATATTTTATTATTTTTATTTTATATATATAAGTGTATTGCCTGCATGTATGTAAGTGTACCTGTGTTGTGCAGTGCCTTCGGAGGTAAGAAGAGGGAGTTGTATCCCCTGGAACTGGAGTTATGGATGGTTGTTAGCCACCATGTGGATGCTGGGATTTGAATCCAGGTTCTCTGCAAGAGCAGCCAGTGATCTTAAAGATTACCACTAAGATTATTTTTTTAAGACTTTTAAAAAAGTATTTTATTTATTATTTTTATTTTATGTGTATGAGTGTATTGCCTGCATGGCATATAAAAACACCTGTGTCCTGAAATGCCCATGGAGGTCAGAAGAGGGTATCAGATACCCTGGAACTGGAGTTACAGATGACTGCATGTATGTGAGTGCACCTGTGTTGTGCAATGCTGCAGAGGTCAGAAGGCCCCTTCAGATTCCCCTGAAACTGGAATTAAGGAGAGTTTGTAGCCGCCATGTGGGTGCTGGGAATTGAACCCAGGTCCTCTGCGAGAGCAGTCAGTGCTCTTAACCACTGAGCCATCTCTCCAGCCCCATAAAATTATTTTTTTAAATAATTTTAAGTTCTATGTAAAAATGCCATTCCCTTCCTCCCTCCCTCCATCCTGTTACAGTTCAAACACTGTCTTTACTTACATTGCTGCCTATCATTCCCTTGCTCCCAGTACTGTTTGGGCCTTTATGGAGAAAAAGTGAGACCGTGGATTTTCGCAGACACACGAATTCAGCCAGGTGTTACTGAGCACTAGCAGTTTGAGAAAGCCGAGTACGGATTCCCTACCTTTGTCGATTGTGTTGCCTTAAGAAATGTTTTGTAGATTTGCCTTTTTCCTAGCTTTTCCAATTTGTGTGGTGTGTGTGTGTGTGTGTGTGTGTGTGTATGCTTGTGCACACTGCTCAGGATGAAACCAGGGCTTCAGTATGCCAGGCTCTACTACTGGCTATATCCTCAGCCTGCCTGAACGTTTTCTTTATATTTTTTAAACTTTTTTTAGGTTCTACCTCCAACATGAACTGACAGAGATCTGCCTGCCTCTGTCTCCTGAGTGCTCGGATTAAAGGCATGTGCCACCACGCCCGGCTGAATAAATTCTTTTAAAATTAGTATTTTTATCAGGAAACAAACTAATGTACTGGAAAGTTCCTAGAACAAAAAAATTTATTTCTCTTGAATCATTAAGTTGCTAATATGATATTTAATCACCTTTAACAATTTATTGTGTTTTCCATATTTATAACAAATGTATTTCTCTGTTCATTTAAG